TCTATTAAATTCTTTAGTACTAGTGAAACACAATATCTTGGCTCTTTTTATTTATTTTAAATGTTTTCAAAATACAAAGAATGTTTAGAGTGAAATTGAGATCACGTCCACAAAGATGATATTTACCCATTTTAAACAACACGATGCCATTTTCACAATTATTTCGTCCGTTTGTCTTTATGTTAGCTTATATGAGCTTAGAGTTGATGAAAATATATTCCTATTATATTTAGAAATCTTGACCGATCCAAAGTTTTTACTCTGTTGTCATACATTGACTCACAGTTGAGTGTTCTTATACTAGTAGCAAGATAGATTCAACGTTTAGTAAATTCTTCCGTACAAGATAGTGAAATACAATAACTTGTTTCTTTTTAATATATTTAAATGTTTACAAGGATAAGCAAGGATGTTTGGTGTGAAATTTTGACATTGGGTATGTTAAGGGATAAAATCTCACATCTTGAATAAAGATGAAAGCACAGACCAATTTACAAGAGTTTGAACTACTTATCTTAATAAGATTGACCTTTTAAGATGGAACCTCGGATCTTAACATGGTATCAGAGCCCATTAAATTCCAACGCGCAATTTGATCCGATTAAGAATCAAAAAAATTGAGCACACGGATTTCAAGATTGGTATGCTCAAACGAGCCACCATCTTGTAGGGACATGTTAAGAGATAAAATCTCACATCGAATAAAGATGAAAAAACATACCAATTTATAAGAGTTTGAATTACTCTTCATATTAAAGTTGACATTTTAATATGAAACCCTAAATCTTAACAGGATATAAGACAACACTTTGTAATTTGATAAATATGGGATGTCCTTTTCACCAATTTAAGTACATTTCTGTTATATTTTGACGAAATGTAATATATTTTTTAAAGATAAACTAATTAGAAAATAACATTACATAATGAAAAAATTGTTTTTTTTTGAATAAAAACCACTTAATATAATCAATATTAATGGATAATACAAAAAGATATGAAGAAAAAGAAGAAATGAAGGATACGGTGAATGAATTTAGGGTAATTTTCAGTGGGGACATTTTGGTTATTCAAGTAAAAGAAAATTAGGACTTTAAAAACTTTGGTTGACAAATCGTCCAATTTATAATTAAGAAAAACATTAAAATAATTAGAAAAATATTTTCACTTTGATTAAACAAATAAACTATTACATGAATCTAAGTTTACCCTTGAAACTGGTTTCTTCAATAAACTTTGGCCAATTTCAACCAGATGGTTCAAGTTTTCCTTTGTTGCAACATCAACTGAGGCGGCAGTCCCATTTAAAGTGTCCTCCTTGCACCCAATCAAAAATGAAAATGTCAGTTCTCGAACAAGCATACATTGTTTGTATTAAAAGAGGCAAATGTGTTATATTAACCCGTAATCACCACAAATAAAATTACGTGCGTGTTAGGCATTTAATGATGAAATAAATCTGTTGTTTAGAAACAATGATTGTTGATCAAGATAAAAATTTAAACGAGTAAAATTTTGGTAGTAAACTTTAGCTTGTAAATTATGTGGTTTAACATCAACCTTACTTGAATTCTAAGGTAGTTTTCTTGAGAATGAAATGCTTGAAAAACAACGGAAATATGCATATCCACCATATTAGCACTGGCTTGAGTGAAAACATCTGCTATTGGANCTTGCCATGTTGGGACATTTTCTTAGTGGGAGTTAGAATTTGGGCGTAACTCGAATTCCTTATTAAAATAATTGAAAAATTCTAATTGAAGTGTATATCAAGAAGAATTCAGTTTGAAATGCTATTGGAGTCCTATGTCAAGTTGAAATTTTATTTTGGAAGCTCATTGAGAGTTATAATTTGTTTTGGACTCGATTTTTTGGTATCCTACTTCATCAACAATTCTACTAGGAGGATTTGGACATCCCCTACACGTTCCCTATAAATATTAGGCACTTTTATACAATTTTATAGTATGAGAAAATAGATTACTAGAATTATAGGATATATTGTAATTTTTCTCTTTTCTCCATTATATTTGAGTCAATAAAATATCTTAATTCCTTTGTAATCTTCTTGTCTTTAGTATTCTTTTGCTTGATCATATATTTCATTATTATTTGCCATATAACTTCAACATCTCAATCCGATGGTTTGTTTCACAACAATTGGTATCAGAGCGCTAGGTTCAGCAGTTCCGCAAGAGCGCAATGTTTGATTTGTTCAAGGTTTTTTATTCGTGATGGGCCATGAAGTATGACATTTCGTTTTTAGATCGGAGCACTAGATTTTCATCATTGCAGGTTAAGATGCGTGCAGTATTAGCACAACTGGATTTGGATGACGCGTTGCTCGAAATTGACAAGATGCCCCAACTTTGACCGCGGATGATAAATTATTGAAGGATAAGAAGGAACTTTCTCAAATTCATCTTCATCTATCAAATACTATTCTTGAGGACGTTTTGAAAGAGAATTCAACGACCGCTTTATGGTTGAGGTTGGAGCAATTGTGGATAACTAAAAGCCTGACAAGCAAGTTGAACTTGAAGCCACGTTTATACTCTCATCGAATGACAGAATGAGGATCATTAGAAGATCATCTGTGTAACGACCCGGGTCCCACTTAACGGGCTGTCCTGGCCGTTGATCGACGACGTACTGTCCTCACTGTACCAACATGGGTCTTTTCAGCATGCTTTGTCCTCACTCACACGCTCTCCGAGAAAACTTCCCAGGGGGGTCACCCATCATAGAATTGCTCCAAGCCAAGNGGAGAATCATTGGAAGATCACCTGGTTGTATTTAAGGAGATCGTCACTGATTTGGAAACTTTGGAAGTAGAGTATGATGAAGAAGATTTTGCCTTGATCCTATTGTATTCGTTGCCCGTTTCGTTTTCTTCATTTAGAGACACGATTTTGTATAGTTGTGATATTCTCACCATGGAGGAAGTGTATGATACTTTATATTCAAAAGAGAAGATGAAGCATCTGGTTTCTGAGGCCAGAAATGGAGAAGGTTTGGTTGCTTATGGTAGTTCTAGAAGGGGCAGATCGAAATCTAAGTTCAGTAATCAAATTTGTAACTACCACAAGAAGAATTTGTACTTAAAGAAGGATTGTTACAAATTGTAGAATAAAGAAATGATGGCTTCAAGTAAATATTCAGATACTTCAGGCGAAGCAGATCTTGTGGAGAACGTTGTAAGTGATGGAGATCTCTTAGCTATTTCTAACATTGACTTTAAATCGGAAGATGATTGGATTCTTTATTCAACATGTGTGTTTTATATATGTCCTAATAAGAACTTGTTTGCTACATATGAAACTGTTTCCAAAGGTGTCTGGTTATGGAAAACAACGCATCTTGTCGGATTGTTGGAATTGGTACAGTCAGATTGAAACTTTTGGATGGGACAATTAGAACATTTGGCCAAGTTCGACATGTTCCAAGCTTAGGTAAGAACCTCATTTGATTGAGCACCCTAGATTCACAGGGGTACACGATGTTTCCAAAGGTGTCTGGTTATGGAAAACAACGGATCTTGTCGGATTGTTGGAATTGGTACAGTCAGATTGAAACTTTTGGATGGGACAATTAGAATATATGGCCAAGTTCGACATGTTCCAGATTCGAAGAAAAATCTCATCTCGTTGTCTATCCTTGATTCAAAAGGTTATGAATTCTTTGGTGGAGGTAGAACTTTGAAGGTTTGTAAGGGTGCCCAAGTTGTATTAAAAAGACAGAAAATGTCTAAGTTATACATCTTGTAGAGTCATGCAGAATTTAGAAGAGTCAAACCTCAAGTTCAGGACCGTGGTGGACATTCAATTTGGTGCAATACATTTAGGAGCTCATAAAAGGTCAGATTTGAAGAATACAGTTCAGTGGAGTTCAAGAGATATGGATAATGCCACTTTACCACCATCACCTGCGGTGCCATTGTATTCAATTGCTAGGGACGGACCCGATGAAAAAGGTATGTGGATGCTGATTTTGTTAAGCATGTTTTAAGTGGAGCAGAAGGTATACAATCTAGTAAGGGGCTTCTTTAAAAGCATTTGAGTTAGATTCTACTTTGGAGTGTGTTACAGCCCATTTTGATTAATTTAAAATCATTATGATTTTTTTGGGAATCTGAGGTAATTCTGCCGAGTAGTGCTTGGATTCATGGGAAGAGGTGGAGTATTGTGTTTCGTTTGAGAAATGAATTTTTTGGTTATTGTTGAAGAAGTCAGATCATTCCTTAGTGAAATTCGTATCAAGGTGGAGATTGTTAGAATTTGGCTGTGACTCGAATTCCTTGTTTAAGTAATTGAAGAATTCTAATTGAAGTAGACATCAAGAAAAGTCCAGTTTGCAATGCTATTAGAGTCATATGTCAAGTTGAAATTTTATTTTGGAAGTCCATTGGGAGTTTTAATTTGTTTTAGAGTCACATTTGTTTTGAGAGATTTCATGTGGATAACTATCTGAGTGTCGGTGGTTAATATCTAACGTTCGGTGGTGGAATTAGTCCTTTGACTTGAGGTCATGATAGTGCCTTATATGAGGTAGTCATACTTTTGTGATCTTGGATGGTGCTCTGCCAATGGTCGCTAATACAACATCATTCGGGTATGTTAAGAATCATATGAAGGCTGTGAATGATCAATAGAGGATTCGTCACTTTTAGATAGTAAGAGATTGTGATCTACATTTGATCCAGTTAAGTTGATAATGAAATCCTTCGCCAAGGTGAACTCATAAGTCGGAAAAGAGTTTTCGACGTACATTGACTTAACAGTGGGATAAAAGATATGATCGATAATTGAGATTGACACATATCCATATCTCATAATTGATCGGATCATATTGACGAAAGGATTATAGTTTCACGGTAAACGAACAAGTTTGGTTTTGTCATGCTACGTGATATTTCCCGTCACATGTATTGCCCTGATACATTGCTAGATGTCAATCTGGGACAACGAAAATGAATTAGTGATAAATTAAAAGGGGCGTTTTAATTTATTGATTTTGATTAGATCAAAA